TGCAGTCTGAAGGTGGTCTTCCATAAATCTTGTGAATTGCTACGAATCAGCTGATGTCAGCAAATACAATCATTGTTCAGAGCTTGGCCTTTCCTCCCGGACATATGCTGGGCCTCAAACTGTGCCACAAATCTCTTTACACTCAGTTGGAAAATGGGAACAAGTTTTTAAAAAGGAAGTTTGCAGTTTCTTCCACGGTTACTCCTTTCATTTTATACAAACCATTTAAGACATTAAATGAGAACAAACATCACATGCCCTAAGTCCAAAAGCAGTTCCAATAGCAGTTTCTACTAAACATTGATGGCTCCCATGCCAAAAACATGAAACTCCCATGCCAAAAGGCAGATGCCAGCATTTTGCCACATCACACTGAGCCTTGCTCACTTACGTTCTCTCATTGTAAAACAGGTGTGTTGTAGGTGCTTGTGTATAGACTTGGGTCCCTCACTGTGTTTATTCTCCTGCCATGGCCACTTAAGGAGCTCCAACACACTGCAACACACCGGGGAAGAGCCACCTTCCTTGCACACCTTGTCACCACCCCAGAAAGTTCCTCTTCTTGTTAGAAAGCTTTTCTTTGTCCTTCCACATTGTGTTTTCCTTCCTCCGACAAGATATTTGTGTAGGCTTGCATGACTCACCTCTTTGTGCTCAGCCAGAATTTCACATCTGAATCCCAGTAGTTAACTGCCATGAAGAAGAGATGGTTTCCACTGAATTTCAGCAAATCAGTTGGCATTAAGTTTCCACTGCACATTATTGGTTTCTTGTATGTCACAGGAAAGCAACAGCTTCTGTTTGGACTTGGAAGTGTTTTGAGGTGCAGGACAAGCTGCCATCTGTCACACACCAAGAAAATGTAGCAGAACATTGGTGAGAAAGTTCAACCTTTACGGCCACATCACCGACATCCATCCCTGACTTCATGGGCCAAAGTAATAAAATAGGAGGCAGTACTTTCAGAGCAGCAACTGTACTTCACCCATCCATGGTAACTGGAAAAACTCCTAAATTATTGCTCAGATGTCTCAGAAAGATAGCATAGTCCATCTTGACTTCAAGTTCTGAGGTAAGGAAACAGCCCCCTGTAAGCTCTGATAGGCTTCCAGTGCTCAAATACTTGCCCTTAGGTTCTCCATTCTCCATATTTATCCTCCACGTTTGTCTAGCAGCTGAGAGAAATAGACTATTGTTGAGCATTATTTAACACGGTGCAAAATAACCTAGTGCTCTAACAATAATAAGATTACTTCTTACCAAGGACCCCGTGTAAAAGTCCTGTGACACTCGCTGTTATCCCTAAGAGATGTTCATTTCACTCGTTATCCCGCATTCAAAAATATGGATCATTTTAAATACCCATGTATACCTTGTGTGCATAATTTTTCATGATTTTAATAGGATTTCTCCTCCTCTGTGAAGCACCATGAAATGTAATATTTTCCTCAGAATGGGCCGTGAAATGTGTCTACCTTATCAGCAATTGGTATAGAACTCACTCTGGATTGTCTGACTCACTGCATGCCTCCCTCCCACATTCAGTCTATTGGGCTGCTATTAGAAGACACACTGTCTAGCCTATTTTATTTTATTTTTTAATGATAGTTGAAGTCTCAAAGGGATACGTGGCATTTTATTGCAAATGCACATGTTTCTGTTTCTTTCCTAGAGCTTAAGGAAGAACATAATGCCCAATTATCTCTGCTGGAGTGACTTGAGTCTTCAAGCACACAGCTATGATAACCTGATGTCTAGAAGCCTCACATGCAGTTCAAGATCCTAATGCAATTCTGAGGGGAAAAAAGTCCCTGCTCAACAACCACACTGGTGTCTGAGACCAGGAGCAATGCCAGGAGCACCAGTGAGCTATAAGTAGGAGATTTGTCCTGCAGAGAAGATCCTTGATTTGAAAAATACCAGGTTATCCATGGGTTTGAGGTTTGTTCATCTGAAGGAGCGACCGCCAGGAAAAAAGAAGTGTGTTCTGATTGCCCCAGACTGTAATTTAGTCTTGTATCTGCGAGTTTCAGGTTTTGTTCCAGTACATAATGGTTCAGTGGAATGCTTCCCAGCAGTCCTGCAATGCACACTCCTTAATAACAGAGAGATCATTTATTGGAGAGAATGAACATATTCTTGCATAAGTCTCTTTTGTATAAGAAGTTTCAAGGATATGAAAGCAGCAATTATCCTCACCTTGGCTAATACAATTAAGAAATTCTAAAGTACTGAGAAAACTCTGGTGCAGTTAGACTTTGAAAATTGTCTAACTATGAGTTGTCGTTTGCCAGTGAGCTATAGTTAGGTCAAATTAAGTCTGAGGTGCAGGGAATGATCGGAAGGCAGTCAAAGGCTGTGGGCTGGGCTTTCCACTGCAGTCTGTCCTGAAGCAGGACCCAAACCCTCCGCCAGCCACCACCAGGAGCTACAGGCACTCGTGAGTTTTCAGGGCACTGATCACATTTTTCTGCAAACTTAAGCAGAAACACTGCATTTTTAGTGATGACCGTAAAACTAATTCTACTCCCAGTTCAAAGCAGAAATGCCTTTGGTATCAGGAACAATGCTGCTTCACTAAAACCTCTCTTGCTGACTCCAACTTCTGTGAAAGAGGTAGGCTGGTGCATACAACGGGGCACAATTCAAATAATTTGTCTTTGATAGCAGGAAGAAAAAAAAATACAGCAGGATTATTACTGCTTCAATGTCATCAGAAATAAACAAAGCAATCATGGATTGGCACTGCAATGAATTTAAGAGAGCAGAAGGCATGGGTCATGGAAGAACATAGGCACAAGCATGCATCCTGAAATCAGTCCATAACAAGTGGAAAACGCAACTTGAAGAAGAGGAGGGCATATAGAAATCCTTACATGACTGCTACTGAGGGAAAGGAAATGACTTATTTGAGGTGCTTGCAAGTGGTAGAAGTGGCTTATCTTGCATTAGCAAGTAGATGTCTAACGATGAGAAGGAAGCAGCCCTGTGTGGCTGAGGATGCTGATGAACCTTCATCAGATCTGCCTTGGGTAGATTCTGCTTTCTGGCTTATTTTGCCTCAGCAGAGAGGGAGGGTGTTGCTCTGAACAGGACTGAGACTTCAGTGCCCTTGATCTCCAAAGTACAGGAATAAAACACACAAAGTTTCAAGACCTTTGAATAAGAATTGGTATCTACTGTTTAGAACAAATAGTATTTCCAATTCATTTTGAAAGACAATTAAGTGAAAAATAGGATGAGCTCTATCTTCCTATTGGCTTAGTCATACTCGACTGCTTTGGTTACAGTATGCATATAATTTCAGATTTTGTTTGGGAGGGTAATGAATGCAAAGCTCACCACACTTGCTTAGATCTGCTGCTGGCAGAACCCAGTGAGGGGATGCTCCTGACAGCCTCATGAAAGCCACCCTTCCACCCACTGCAAGGTTTGCCTGTATGCGTGTGCTGATCTGATGCTAATACAAAGTGATTTTTCAATGGAGAACTGGATAATACAACGTGGGGATAGCACCCCAGCCTTTGGGATCCAAGTGCTGAGAGCAGCTTACATTACACTCATTTCCCCAGCTCCCAGTTATCTTGGTGCTAAGATAACTTGTGAAGAACATTACGTTATCATTAGCAAGAGAGAGACCCAAGAGATCCAAGTGTTTGTCCTGGATAATCTCCCTCCTTATTAACAGCAGACTTATGCAGGCATAAGTGATTCACCTGTAGTTAAATGGGTAAAAGCTTTAATTTACAACAAGGGATTTATCTGGGAAGGAAGGAAAATAATTTCATGCCTCATTGTTTTTCCATGATCCCATTACACCAGGGGATGACGCTTCCATTATATCACTCAAATATGAGATAAGCATACCTCACCAAGGTCTGCTTTCTTTCTCTACTATGCTGGAACATGCAAGTAGTTGGAGACAGGAGGGTCTGGACGCTTGATACTTCTTAAGCATGCAGAAATGCCTTTGCATCTGAGCAAAGGAATGTCCTGGGGAAGCAGGAGGTGGGAGGAGGCACAGTGTCCATCAGTCGTGTGAGCCAGCACAAGCTGTGCAGAAGGCAAAGAAGAGGCCCTCGAGTAGCCTGAGGACTCCCCATTTGCTGAGCATCACAGGTTTGCTGCAGGGCAGAGGTGTCAGAGCTTTTCACAGGAGAGGTCATCGAGATCCTTTTATAAGAGGCAATAAGTGCTAAGAGGTTTCCAGCGGGCTTCCTCCTCTTGTATAGTTATATAGTTCAGCAACTGAACTGAAGTGAGAAGCCTGTCCCATGAGCAGCAAACTCACTGAAATCTAATTTTCTCTCTTTTTGTGCATATCTGAACTCACTGGAAGATAAGAAAAGGGTGAATCCACGCTAGGAGCCTGCTCATCCCTAGGGACCCTCAGTACAGAGCATTGCTGCCATACTCCTAAGGCCTGGGGAAAGCACAGAATTTGGCTGAAATCACAGAATTGTAGGGGTTGGAAAGGACATCTAGAGATCATCAAGACAACAAGTTCCAGCCTCCCCAGGCTGCGTGAGGACACAAAACTTCTGTTTACTGAAATCTTAGCACCAAGAATTGCCCAAATATTGCAGCTCCTTTGAACAAGCTGAAGAATATTATTTTATTATGGTAATGCAGCACCATTTTCTGTACTGATCAGCAGAAAATGTAGTACCTTAAAATCTATTTTAAGAGATTAAAAATTCCACAAGGTGTCAAGCAGCTTGATATTCAAATTATCAGCAAGATGAACAATACTGAACCCCTAAAATAGCTCACGAGCCTCAACAAGTTTTTTTTCCACTATGTCCAGATAGGCATCCTTGACAAGCATGACACCCCACCTCATTGCATTTTAGCCCACAGTGTGGGTATTGTGAACAGCCTCAAACTCTTTGGGGTGTGAGGGCCATTTCCATCATGAATCACTGTTTACTGAGTCACCAGCAGCTGGGCTTTCTGTCTGAAAGGATTAAGAGCAAGGAGACAGTGAGGCTCACCTTTGAGTTACTATGCTTCCCCATGTGATCCAACCCAGCTCTCCTGGAGGCAGCATCCTCTTGAAAACCATGGGATGGCACTGCAGCTATTGCTCTCCTCTTTCACCTTTGAAAAAGTTTATAAACCAGGTTAAGTTTTTTGGGAGATTTTCTGCTAAGTTTCAGACAGAATTGAGAAATTCTGCCATAATGCTGCAGATTGCTGGCAACTGAACATCCCCCCCCAGACAAGTGCAGTTGTGTCTCATTTCTGATACAGTCTTTTGCCAACACTGAATCCCAGACCTCCACAGTTTCCTTGAGACTTTTTGTTTTTAACCAATCCGACCTATGGGGCAAGATTATTTAACCTACCTGAAGCCAACAAACTCTCAGGCTTTATTTCCAATCGGATCAGGCTGGAAAGAGAGAAGCAGACTAAAACATGCAGCTGGCTTCACCACCTGCTGCCAATTTTGGGAGTTTCTTCAAAGTGGATGAAGGGTCAGAGGAAAAACCTTGTAAGTTCCCATCTCATTTATCAGGGTACCTCTTCCTGATCTTTTGTACAAAACATGGGAGGGATTGATGGTCTGCAACAGCCCATCAGCGTGGCCTGGGGGATGAGCACAGTTCAACCTGCCTTGCTCTTGCACTGGGTGATCTTCTGTTCTTGTCTCTGCAGGCTGGGGAGTGACCTGCTCTCTCAGGCAGCCAAAGGCCTGAGCGCCAGCAGCCTTCCAACAGTCTGCACAGGGGGAGGCCTGTTGGTGGGAGCTCTGCTAGAACACCTGAGCCCTATGAATTAACTGTAATTTGCAAGTCTTTAGAACAGCACAGGAGAGGACAAGACTTTCAGAAGCACCTGGGGCTGTTCTGAACAAGATCTCATTGACTTTCAACAGCGATTTCTTCTGCTACATGCCGTAGGTGCACAGAGGTAAAGCAGGTGCAAAGGTTGGGCAGGCGCTCAGCCTGCTCGTGATTACCTTAAGCTAAGCAGGCTGATGCAGCAGGGCCTCAGCAAAGCCCTTCCTTTATTTCTGATCCATTTCAGAGCATGACCTTGGCCTTCCAAGTTCTGCTCTGAAGTACAAAGACTCAAAGAGAAACTCAGCTGCCAGCATTCTGCTGTGGTTCCCAGACATGCTGATTTTGCAGGAGTTCAGTATAAAAACGGTCGTAACTCAACTTATGTTGAAGCTAAAGTACATTCAGAAGAACATTCTGCTTCTTGGGCTGGGCTGGCACTTCGAATGGGCTGCTTTGGTGGGCACCAACTCAACATCCACTCTGAAATTTTGAGTTCTGATCTCCAGAGGGCAAGTCTGGAGTGACTTTAAACTAAAGGGAGGAAAATTTAGATGAAATGTCAGGGGGAAGATTTTCACTTAGAGGGCAGTGAGGTGCTGGAATAGGTTGCCCAGAGAGCTTGTGGATGTCCCTGTCCCTGGAGGTGGCCAAAGCCAGGTTGGATGGAGCCCTGGGCAGCCTGAATTAGTGGCTGGCAACTCTGTCCATGGCAGGATTTGCATGGGCTCTGAGGCCCCTTCCAACCCAAGCCACGCTGTGACTATGACTTCAGCCTACAGCTCCCCTTCGGTCCTATAAAAGTGGGAAGAGATGGACACTACAGCCCTAGTTTGGAATGAAATGCTGCTTTGCATCTGGAGACATGTCTCTTCAGCCACTCTGAGCCTCAGATACACAACAGAATATTTGCACATACTACTTGCAAAAAGAAAACGAAACTTTACTTGCGTGATTATGTCTGCAGATATCTGCAGATGGGTGGAGAACAGGTTTACCCAAAACGTGTCTGGAAAGAAAAGATCTCAATGCTTTGTAGCAGCGACTTTAACTAAAAGCAAAGGTTCAGGGAGATGCCAAACGAGGGCAGTGCCCGCGAGTGTGGCTGCTCTAGGCGCTTTGGGCGGGGGGGGCGCTCCGACGAGCTCCCAGGCAGCACATGCAGCAGTCGCTGTGCATCGCCAGGTGTCGTTGCTGTGCCGCGTTTGTTCTCCGCTCGTCTTCGCTACCCTCGTAGGGAAACACCGGGGATGGGCTTTCCGGGTCCGGAAAGGACCAGCAAGAAAGGTCAAGGAATGAAAACGTAGCCCTCGCTGCTTGCTGTAAGGCAGATCCTGTGCTTGCACAGTACACGTTGGGGAGGGTGGGAGAAGACTGCTCTTTCAGACACCAAACAGCTGATGGAGACTGCCAGAACTGGGGATAATTCTGGCTCTTCCACAGTACCTGGACTATCAGACCTGGTACAGGAGCTCAGCTCCTTTCCCCAGCAATGAAGTCAGCTCACACCATGCGTGCCCCATTGCTGCCCACCAATTTCTGCTCAACAGAAGACAAGCGAGCTGCGTTTGGCAGCACCTCACTCGACACGAACTTTTTCTGGGATTAAGTGCCCTGGTGTAAATTCAGACAGGTCTGGCAACCCCAGCAGGGTGATGTAGGTCTGCTGGCTGTTTGGCACTGATGGTCCCATTGAAATCCACCTCCACAACCAAACCTGCACTGCTGAAACTTTCACAGATCTGCCAGTGGTTGGGTATCTATTGCTCAGATTGATGTTCTTCCCTCTGTAGCATTCATTCCAGAGCTTCTTTGTGAGAAGCACCTGGCAGATGGCATTGGGTACTTTTAAAACAACTCGTGCAGCAGCTACGCTAAAGCTCAGCAAGAATTATTTCATAAAATAGCTTTCAAATACAGAAAACCCTATTTCCACCTCAAACATCACTGGCTTTAGCTCAAGTTGGGCAAGTTTTTTTGTGTGGAGCCCCAGCCCTTAGCTCCAGCCTGAGGGCCATACAATTGCATTGGACTTCCACCAAAAATCACATCAAGAGGTTTTATTTTTTAAAAAAAATGCTTGTGGGGGACTTCTAGGATATGGAATCTCCTTTAGGCTTCCAGCAGAGGGTTTGGTTGGTCTTTATGTGCTGCCTCAGAAAAATAAATTCAGGTGTACAGGAATCAGGATATTCCCTCAGCTATTGCAGGCACTTTTAGTGAGCTCTCCTTCCAAACCTTCAGCTCGCTCACCTGTAAATCTTGTTTATACCTGGTGAATTAAGTACTCTGAAACTTAACTACGTTCACTTGCTTTCTGGGTTCCCAGCTCCCTTTACACAGCAGGAGAAAGCTCCTTATCCTTCTCACTCCTCTGAACCTCCACTCAGAGGAAATAAGCAGCAATTCAGCATCTTTTTTTTCTTTTTTCTTTTTTTTTTTTGTTTTACAATCCACCAACATCCTAGAGGCACTTTATATCTTTGGTACCCTTGGGCAAATGGCATGAAATAAAACAGATTGTAATCCGATACATGGCCCAGCAGGATGAAAAAGCCAGAGTCCCTTGCAGGTTCAGCATTGCATTGCTGGCGACAGCAGCCATCCCTGCAAGCTTTTTGGATATACATGAGATTCTCTGGCTTGCTTTGCCAGAAGCAAGAATTTGGGACACAAAGCAGCCTCTGCACATCCAGCCA